TACCAGTAATCATGGAATATACACAGTTGATCACAGGGAATAATAAAAAGACAGTTGCAACGGTGAAAATTTTATTTTTCGATGAAGTCATCAACTAGGCTGTACATTCGTGTATTTATTTATGATAAATGAGTGGGAAAGTTCCAGAATAATTTCCGGTCAAGGGTCAGATTGATAAAATTACAATTAAGAATTAAAATGCCATGATAAACAGGGGGAGGGACGGATAAAACTAAAACGAAGTAGCATCATAATTACTGAGGAGACTGACATACTGTGCAAATAGGGATTACATATGTAGAAATAATAAAATGACAAAATAGATAGGAAGTTCGGATATGAAAATATGGTAGTGTAAATAGGGATTAAGAAAAACTTAAAATAACATAATTAAACAGGAAGTTTGGATAAGAAAGACAATGGGATAGTCACTATTATAAGAATTACCTGTTTATCATGTCTATGACAGGGACAAGGGTTGGACGTATTTCTTTTGGATACATAGAGTGGGTTTGAGCTTTTGGATGACTAGTGCCTTGGCTATGTCCAGATGTCTTAAGTTTACTCCCTTTGATAGTATTTCGAAGGATTTTTCGAATGGCGCTGAATGTCCTGAATTGACCAGATGTTCAGTCACTGAAATATATAAACGTTTTTGTTCTCCTCTTACTAGCCAGGTTGGATAGTGTTCACTAGCGCCTTATCCAAGTTGGCGCATACTTTCATATCCGAACCTCCTGTCTATTCCGTCATTTTATTATTTCTACATATTTAATCCCTAACTGCATAAACAATTATTCGTCAAATTAGTTGTGATCCCACTAGATTTTTTATCCAGATATCCTGTCTATTTTTGTTATTTCTACATGTCTAACCCCTAATTGCACAATATGTCAATCTTCTCAGTAATTATGATGCTACTTCGTTTTAGTTTTATCCGTCCCTCCCCCTGTTTATCATGGCATTTTAATTCTTAATTGTAATTTTATCAATCTGACCCTTGACCGGAAATTATTCTGGAACTTTCCCACCCATTTATCAGAGAAATAAACACACGAATGTACAGCCTAGTTGATGACTTCGTCGAAAGAAAACTTTCTTCGCTGCGACTGCCTTTTTATTATTACCATTAATATTCCTGATTTCGGCGCAGAGAATAGAATGAAGTGGCGATGTTCCTAAGAAGTTCTATATTCCACTTAGAACCCATGCGAATAATAAAAATAATAATTATAGTGTTTGCCAAGTCAGACAGAGATAACCTAAAGATAACTAGCTTCCTGAATTTATTTTAATCGTGATATGACTAGATGACATCAAGACTACTTGAAAGGATTGGTCACATATTTGTAGACGTATTCCATCGACAGTGATATTGCTCAGGGCGCATAGTCACAGTGAATGAAAATAAATACATTCTGTAGTTCATTGGCTTACCAATACAATGTGTCATAAATAAATATTTCTCATGGAATATGAAATAGACAAAGCAATAAGAAGACGTAATTTGTCTGAATCGTGTAGTGCGTATTTGCGCAACACATTTCGAACAATCTGATTACACACGGACTTGTCATAAGAATGAATCTATATGGAATTAATATGGAGTTAAGAGGTGGGAAAGTAGACAAGTTAGGTCAAGTTAAAAGGACATATTGAAGGTCAAAATAACAATGAAGATCACTAAACCAAATAACAGAGGTAATAGTGTAATAAAAGAAGACAAGGGCCAGGCAACAGATCGTCTATTAAGGAAAATCAACACATATTTATCGATTTTAATGTACATTACTGTAGATTATTGTTAGTAGAAATTACAGTCTTTTGATTGGTTGTTTCTCACAGAAAGTTAACCTTGCATCTCTTTGTGGCTGTGTCAGATCATCCATATACTAACTGTGTCCGCCTACGCAAAGCCTTTGTTCTCATCTTCTCACCACCAATATTGGGGACATAAACATTGACGTCAATTACTGTCTATCAACTTTGGCTAGCAGCCAGCTCTCACCACAATAGTATATCTATCATGGCTGGTATCAAAACATAGTTTACCAAGGAGGGTGAAGTGGGATGACGAATTGTTGCTTCGATCGCATAAAGGTGGTTTAAACTTTCTAACTGCCAGCTAGGGCTTCCACAAACTTTAGGATATGCCACAAACACGTTTTACAGATAGGTTTAAAAGATGTGTTAACGTCAATTTTATGTTCGCAATAGACGAACTAGGTCTCCTGTTCTCACCATTAATGGGTTCTGAAGATTCTATTTACTCCTGGAGCCATTCAGGAATATGCTCTGAAGCCAGTCCTTACTTGCAGAGATCGATGAGTCCTCCATATATATATATATGTGTGTGTGTCCACACGTACGTTCAAATTGGTAAATACAGGGGGATGTGACATCATTTTTCGCATGTTCGAAGGGCTTAGATGGATATATTGGCTTCACATTCTCAATTATTAAGATATCAAGTGCATAAAAAGTCTTTCTAACAGCAGCGTTCAATCTTTATCTAGTTATCAAGCTGCTGTGATGCCCCATATAGAGTAGGTAGGTTGATGTACACGTCTTTCTTAGTTGAGAGTTGGAGAGTGGGTCTTGGTGTTTCACTGACTGATTTGTAGGGATTTGATTGGTTACAGGATTTTCATCATGAGCTGACATCAGTTAGAGAACCATTGGAAAACCTGGGAGTACTGGACAGCTGTTTCGTCCTAGTTTGGGACTCTTCATCAGTACGCACCCACCGGGATTCGAACCCAGGACCTTCTGGTTTACAAGGCAAGCTCGTATACCATTAAGCCACTGGGACCCGATCCAATGGTCCATGAATTCTAACTTCTGCCAATTCACGACATAGCGCGACCCCTAGCCAATGTCTTTGGCGAGTATTCGTCCTCACGCCCGACCTGCTGCACCCTACTGGTCACGACTTCTCACTAGAACCCCAGGTGACTACCCACCTGAATAGGGCAAGTCGCTAGTGAGCATCTCATTGATTTTCAAGTGTTGGTTTGTAGGGATTTGATTGGTTACAGGACTTCATCATGAGCTGACATAAGTTAGAGAACCATTGGAAAACCTGGGAGTACTGGACAGCTGTTTCGTCCTAGTTTGGGACTCTTCATCAGTACGCACCCACCGGGATTCGAACCCAGGACCTTCTGGTTTGTTTTATATCTCCTGATGAACTTGTCTGGATAATTGTTATCAACCAGAGTTTGTATCAACTTTCTTTATTCTTCATCAAGTGTGTCTGTCTTCAGTGCATATTCGTTGGATTCTAGTGAAAAGGCACCTTACTAAGGCTCTTTTGTACCGAACAGGGCAGAAACTGTGGTAATTAAGATACTGTTCTGTCCAGGTAGGCTTTCTATAAGTAGATCGCTTTATTGACCCATCAAGCCATCGAGTAGGCAATACGTCTAGGAAAGATAAACAGTTATTTTCCTCTTCGTCGTCACAATAAACCTTCCTTGGCAAACTTTGTTATGATACTATAGCAGATGTACTTTTGTGGTGAGGACTGGCTGCTAGCCAAAATCGGTAGATAGTAATTTACCTCAATGTTTACGTCCCCAATATTGGTCATGAAAAAAAATAACAACAAAGACTGACTCAACAGCCATTCACAGCAGACTTTGCGTAGGCGGATACAATTTGCAGACAGATAATCTGAACTCCAGGAAACGGCCACAAAGAGATGAAAGATTAACGTTCAGTGAGAAACCACCAATCAGAAGACTGTGTTTGTTTGCGTGCAATAATCTATAATAATGTACATGAAAAAATATATATATATGTTGATTTCCTAAATAAATGATCTGTTGCCTGGCCCTTGTCTTCTGTTGTTACACTATTACCTCTGCTATTCAGTTTAGTGATCTTCATTGTTTAAATCATGGAAAATTCCCATTGTAACAAATAGAAAATCAAAACAAGTGATTCAGTGAAGAGACTCTTTTCAACGAATTTATCATCAAGCTGTACAATCGTATATATATGGTTTTTTAAGAAGTTATATCCGGTGAGGGAATTGAAACATAGGTGTGAATGCATAAAATAATAATAATATGAAATGCAATTAAAACTGAAATGTTTGTGATTATAATCGTAGTTAAATGTCAAATGGCAAAGCAAATTAATGTCATATATAGAATAATTCATAGGATGGATAGAACTTGAAAAAGGTGTACAATTATAGGTTTAGTAGACAAATCGAATAAAATGCAACCGTTACGTAATATTGTGTGAAATTTAATAGCATAGAATTTAATGTTCTAAAAAGGAATTAATTTAGAATGACAAGTGGAACAAGTGAAATAATACCGAGGACAGTTAAAAGTGAGAGTAGTAATAATAACAATTGACGTAATAAGGAAGAGTATACAAATTGAATAGACAAAAATGAAAAATTGGTAGAGCAAAATATGATTGGGGATTACCATACTTTAGCATAGAGGGATTAAGACCATGAAAGTTGGAGGGGTTGAACGAACTTTTTCTGTATACAGAGAACTGGCTTTTCTGTTTCGATGGCCAAAGCTTCAGCAATACAGATGAGTTGGGTACGTAGGGATTTGGGTAAATTACTCTTTGCCTTATAGATGACTTTGAAGGCGGAGGCTATAGAGATAGGGTGATCATTATCGACCGGATATAACTTCTTAAAACCATATATATACGATTGTACAGCTTGATGATAAATTCGTTGAAAAGAGTCTCTTCGCTGAATCATTTGTTTTGACCTTCATTGTTATTTTGACCTTCAGTATGTCCTTTTAACTTGACCTAAGTCTATTTTCTCACTTCTCACCTCTTAACTCTTTATTAATTCCATATATACTCATTCCTATGACAAGTCCGTGTGTGATCAGATTGTTTGAAATGTGTTGCGCAAATACATTACACACGATTCAGACAAATTACGTCTTCTTATTGCTTTGTCTAAATTCATCAAAAGGGAACTAATTGTTTTGAATATGAAATAAGCAGCTCACCTGGAGAAATTTGTTTCCCATGCGATTTATTCACTCCATAATCTAAAAAAGTTAAAGAGACAAGTAATTTTAATTAGTTATGGTGAACTGACGAAAAAGGATGCTGAAATGTTATCATAGAAATACATCCCTTTTTATATTATGCAGTTTATGGTAGACTTTTAGCATACAATGACTTTCGAAAAGCAACTAAGAAAATTACATTTTATTTTCCAGTCCATGCTTCTGATTACCGAGTGGAAATCTTCCTTTGTTTATTGTGATTGTGATCATATAAACAGGTTGGATTGAGAGTATTTGAGAAGGTTATAGGTGTCCCATAATTCACCATAATTAAAATGTTCAATTCCTATTTCAAATTGTGTGTAATTCCACTTACTTTGATCCCTTAAGATAAAACGAGTGATGAAGTATGGTGTTACAGGTTAAAATGGGGATCAATTTGAATGGGCTTGCACAAGTGAAGCTGGTTTTCAGATACACAAACTGAAGTTTGTAGTTATTTGCTTTGACCGTCCTGTGAATAGTACACAGACAATTTAAATTGAATTGGTAAGAGTTTGAATTCGCGGTCCATTTGATCGGGTCTCAGCGGCTTAATGTTCTACGAGCTCGCCTTGTAACCAGAAGGTCCTGGGTTCAAACCTTGGAGGTGGGTGCGTGCTGATGAGGAGTCCCAAACTAGTCTGACGAAACAGCTGTCCAGCACTCCGAGCTGGTTTTCCAATGGTTCTGTAACCAATGTCAGCTCATGATGAAATCCTGTAACCAATCAATCAAATCCCTACAAACCAATACTTGAAAATTTAAACTTTTATACATTGTTCAGACTTCGTATGTTTGAGTTGTGTCTTAACCTACTAAACTCTAGCTTGTCTACAGTAGTAATTTTACTTTGACAGGTGTACGTAACACTTGTGTCAGACAAATTAAACTATTTAGGTATATAAGCCACTGTTCTGTCTAGCAATCTGGTACCCAATCCCTTCGCCTTCCCTTTATCTTTAATGACGGTGTCATAAAGTGGAGCAGATCTCACCACCAGGCAGTATATCAGACTTTGGTATTCGATTCTATAACACGTTTGCAAGAAAATCTGAGCAATCTGTCGAAAACCAGTAGAGGCTTCTGTATGCTTGTGCAGATCTAATAACTATCATCTCCATTCAGATGATGAAACTCTTTTGGTAACTGAAGTTATTAATTATCTCAGTCTTTTAATCTCCTTCAATTTCGATGCAGGATATCTGGAAAAATGTGTTATACACCACCAATCACAAGTCAAACCTACGACCTCCCGGTTAAAAGTAGAGCTCGTAGATGATTCAGCCACTGACATCTTACTCAATGGAACATATATTCTAATTTCTACCAATTTGCGATTTTCATGCAACTGACACCAGCTAATGCTGTCGGCGAGTATTTGTCCTCACCTCTGGCAGGATGAATCCTATTGGTCACAGCTTCTCACTACAAATCCAGGCAAATTCGTCCCGTAGTGAGTCACTAAAGAGTGCCAGAATAATTTTCAAGCTTTGGTTTATAGGGATTCAATTTGTTCCAGGTCTTGGCCGTTGATTAATTTCAACTAGAGAAGCATAGAAAAAAAGTAGGGAGTATTGGACAGCTGTCTATTCCTAGTTAGATACTCATCGGGGTCAAGTTAAACTTTAAGCACCACTAACTACCAATGGAGTTCGACCGCACTAATGACCTTGAAACGCTAACTGGCAAATAATGCTGTCATCACAAATGAAATATGCTCATCGAAGTGTTATGCTATTAAGTAGGATATCTCGCTAGTTGCAGCTTAGGTTTGGGAACGAATAATTTACCTTTTAAGCCAAGGACAAGTTAGGGTTAGGTTAACCTAAAAAAAGCGACATTAGAGTTGGTTCGAGTTAGATTACAGTTAGTTTATGTATATGTTCACGTTAGAGTTAGGTGCAGGAAAGATTAGGGTTATTGTTAGGCTAAGAAGACCTAAATAACTGCATGCACAGAATATGGTTTAATTAATCTGTTAATATAAGAGTAGAAATTGTGCACTGTGGCAGAGTATAATTCCATTGTGGGTGGTGCTTAAAGTTTAACTTCGCCCTCATCAGTAGTACGCATCCTCTATGGGTTTGAACCGAGTTCTAGAACTGACATCAGTCCATGGCTAAACCCGATACAAATCAAATCCCTGAATAAAAGTTATTATTATTCAGATGTGAGGCTTGGTAAAGGGTTATTTGTTTGGGATTCGGTATCTCTGTAAAGCTAAATTATATACACCTTATCTTTAAATCACCTTCACAGATCTCCTGTGTTGTGCTACTTCTGGCCTTAATATTGTGTTTCTTTGTGTTCCTTGCACGTCTCCCATGTATCTCCGCAACGCTGCATCATTTGCTTTCTTTGACATCAAATCTATCTCCCTGGTGTTTGATGTTTTTATACTGATGAACATCTCTTTATATATATACTACTAGTAAATTTTATCAGTAGTACACGTCTCAACATTTCTGTAGGAATGAAATAATTGGAACGGTTGTAAAGTTTATCTACAGAAAAGAAACCTGGAGTGGACAATACCTTCACTACAAAAGCGTCCGCCCCATAAGTTATAAGTGTGGATTAGTAAGGACACTGTACGACAGGGCCAGGAAGTTATGTTCGCTTAACAAGCTAGAAGAAGAAATAAACTTCGTTGAAAAATGCCTCAAGGAAAAGGGGTAACCAAAAGGATTTATCCTAAAGTACGGCAAAGAAAGAAATGAGAAAGAGAAGTATCCAACAATTGAAAAGAAGAAGGTGTTCATTTGCCTCCCATACAAAGTAGAAACGGTATCACAAAAGATTGAAAAGAGGATGAAATGAGCACTGAAGAGATGCTTCCTTGCAGCTAAGCTGGTGACACTATACAGCACTACATGATCTATAAGCCAGTAGAAAATGCATAAATACCCTGCTGATGTTACCTCCAACTGCATTTACAAATTTACGTACATCTGCGTCAGCAAGTACATTGGAAGGACAGAAAGAAGGGCTTCTATCCGGTTTTCAGAGCATATTCCAGGAAACTTATGCTTCAAAAGAAGCAGATATTTACGAAGTGCAATTACCAGACACCTTGTGTTGTCGAGAATTCCAAATCCTACAAAATATTAAACATACAATGGGCAACGAATCTACTACGATTTGTTGAGGCAATTGCAATCAAACGTCTCAGACCAAACTTAAGCAAACAGAAAGAGAGTGTAGTCAATCTCTCACTCCCTTGGTAACCATATTACTTTGATTACACTGATTAGTCATACACACTAGTGAGCTTAGCTGACTAAGTAAGTTTTCAATTTGATGAACTTTAAGCTTCTTAAGTTGACATTTTAACGTACAAGCTAACACTGTTAATTAGATTTTTCTGTTTTTGTCTTCTCTCACCCCCGTCCCTTTTTTCATAGTTTGATAGTATATAAACTGATGGTAACTTAAACTGGAAAAATTGTAATAGTAACATTTCGGATGCGTTCATCTTATAATGTTTTCTTTATTACCTTTGAAACATTGAAGTATGAAATGCTATTATCTATAACCACTGTAATTTCAGGTAGTGGTGTGCAGCTGATGAGGGGGACCTGTGAAACAGAATGACATCATTTTATACTGCAAATCTGGTCTTCCTTTCTCTGTTGAAATTTATCAAGGGAAACAAATGTATGAAATAATTGTATTTTCCCCTGTATCTATGCATATGCCTTTCAGATAATTTTATCGAATTATCAGGAAAAAAACACTGCCTAAATTCATATTTACGACAGAAAATGATATACAGGTAATTAGTGTGTGTCGCACATTATTCCTCCCATTCACTAACTCATTCACTCACTCATCCAGTCAGTCTTCCTCTCCCTTTCTAGTCAACCATTGATAATTAGTGCAATAAAATAAACAATTTGTCTGTTTCTACACACGAAAATACACCCTCATTTTGATCATCATTTAAGAGTTTTCCCATGAGTGTGATATAATTCATGTCTGGTTTACGTCAGTTAGTTATTCCATTTACCCATTTCTACCTGACTGACCTCTTACTGTTCACTAGATCACTTACTCCTATCATCTTTTTATCTCTCCCTCTACACACACACACACACACAACCAAACACACACGTTAACATTGACGATTACTATCAGAGTGATTTAATTACCTCTGAAGATGAATTAAATTTTGAGTGGTTTTATGCCAGAAGATATTAGATCATTGGCAACATGTTCTTTAACCATCTAAATGGGTTAACATACGCCAAATTTGCAATTTGAACAGTTTGAGGTGATTAATCTGCCTACATTTCACTTTGGAAACGAAAATTATTCAGTTCATACTGTGTAATCTGCTTCAAATGGAATAATCTAGCATAAATGCATTGCACTGTGTACTACTGATTGATTGAGGTGGCTAGTAGTATATCACTCACGTGAAACAGTAGCTCTTGTTAGCCTGATACATCGCTGAAGAACTCAGTGCCAAGTGGACGGAACGGTGGTCCGGTGTTTAGATCACTTCGATTTCACTGGCCAGAAAAGATTACTGGTTGATGTAAGTGGCATACAACTGCTCATATCAACCAATCAGTAATATATATAGTGATATGGTATTTATGGGTCATTATACTACTAGAATATATTTATGCGTTGAAGTTTCTGTAGCAGTTTGGAATGGCAATCAAACCTCTACCTCAACTTTATAGACTTTGAGAAGGCCTTCGACAGCGTTGACCGCGAAGTAATTTGGAAACTACTCGAGTACTACGGCGTACCCCAAATATTCATCAACTCTATTCAACAGCTGTACGACAACGGCACATGTCAAGTGATCCACAACGGAAAACTCAGCGAGGCGTTTGGAGTAAACACAGGAGTCAGACAAGGGTGCTTACTATCACCAATGATATTCCTAATTGTGGTGGGCTGGATTATGCGTCAGAGAGTGGGAAACGGGAAGACAGGGATATCCTGGACCGACGCGAAGAACCTAGAAGACCTGGATTTTGCGG